CGGCGCGTCAGGGGGCACCGCCGCACCAGCCCTCGCCACCCCTCCGGCCCGCGCATTCCGAGCCGGCGGTTGTGGCACCTGCCCTCAAGGCGGCTGTAGCCCAGGCTACACCGCCTACTCCCAAACAGAGACCGGAGACTCCAGAGTCTTCGGGTCTCAAGGCCTCCCCTCACCAGGCGAGGCCCAAAATTCGAACTAACAGCCCGCATGTGCGGGCATCCAGTGCCTCCGAGGAGGCAATGGATACATCGGCACCCTTGGTGCCGAAAGAGCGGCGTGGCTCCTTGGAGTGCGCCAAGAAAACAAAAAAGCAAATAACAGGGCCTGGTGATGGCCCTGTTAAGTGAACTCAAACTCCCCGTCTAAACAGCCACTCGCTTTTCGTACACACAGCACTATTTCACATTCACCATGAACACTCAAATTATGCAATGGAACGTCAGGGGCCTTCTCAGAAACCTTGACGACATCCAAGAACTCTTACATGACACTCGCGAAAAGTGCTGTGTGTACAAGAAACACACCTTAATTTAAAACACACAAATTTCTTCGTAAATATGTTATTTTCCGAAAAGACCGTGTTGATGCTATGACATCATCCGGAGGTGTTGCCATCATAGTGAATCAAGGAATAGCATGCACACACTTACAACTCCAAACACCCCTTGAGGCAGTGGCTGTTCGAGTGGTTCTTTTGATAAACTGATCACAATCTGCAGTATTTACATTCCTCCTAGCTATCAGCTCCAAAAACGCGATTTACACTCTCTAATTGATGAACTTCCGGAGCCTTATGTTCTCCTTGGAGACTTTAATGCGCATAGCAGGTTATGGGGTGACTCTCGGTATGACGCGCGAGGTCGATTGATCGAACAGTTCCTTATCTCGTCGAGCGCGTGTCTCCTAGATCGAAAAGAACCAACCTATTATAACCTCGCTAATAACACCTACTCCTCCATAGACCTGAGCATAGTATCTCCATCTCTTGTGCCTCTACTCCAGTGGAAAGTCGTCAGTAATCTGTACGGAAGTGACCACTTCCCCGTAGTTTTGAGCACAACGACAGTAACTGAGTGTCCACCACGTGTTCCCAAGTGGCTCATAAACAGAGCCGACTGGGAACAGTTTCATACTATCGCTTGTCTAGGTTGGAATGACATCTGTACTTTGAACATTGATGTTGCTGTGAACTACTTCACAACGTTTTTGATTGATGCTGCAACAAAATGCATCTCACAAACAAATGGACACCTTGGAAAACGATGTGTGCCATGGTGGAATTCTGAATGCCGAAAAGCGCGCAAACAGCAAAACAGAGCTTGGAGGCTGCTTCGGAACTCACCGACAGCCGAAAATCTTGAAACCTTCAAGAAAATAAAGTCTCAAGGCAGGAGAACGCGTCGGCAGGCCAGAAGAGAAAGCTGGCAGAAGTTTTTATCAGGGGTTAATTCATACACACAGGAGGCTAAAGTCTGGAACATGGCCGGTAGGATAGCAGGAAAACAAGTACACACACTTCCACTCGTAAACACTCAGGGTGATACCTTGGAAGATCAGTCAAACTTCCTCGGTGCACACTTCGAACAGGTATCCAGCTCGTCCCACTATACTAACACTTTCCAAAAATACAGAACAAGAATAGAAAAGCAGAAACTCGAACAGAAATCCACTAGATACGAGGCATATAACCAAGCTTTCAATCTAGCTGAGCTCCAAACATCTCTAAACACCTGCAGTACTTCTGCCCCAGGTTCTGACCGTGTGATGTATGAAATGTTAAAAAACCTACCAAACGAAACCCGAAAAACCTTACTTTGTTTGTACAATGCTATTTGGTCTTCTGGCACTATTCCTACCTCCTGGAAAGAGGCTATTGTTATTCCCATTTTGAAAGAGGGCAAGGACCCTTCTTTACCCTCGAGTTATAGGCCTATAGCACTTACAAGCTGCTTGTGCAAAGTCTTCGAAAAAATGATAAACTGCCGATTTGTACATTTTCTTGAAACAAATAATTTGCTCGACCCATTTCAGTGCGGGTTTCGAGAAAGTAGATCCACCACAGACCACCTTATTCGTATCGAGGCACAGATCAGAGACGCGTTCGTCCATAAACAATATTTCCTCTCTGTGTTCCTCGATATCGAAAAGGCTTATGATACTACATGGCGTTACGGAATTCTAAGAGACCTTTCCCACCTTGGTGTGCGCGGAAGAATGTTTCATATAATCGAAAGTTACCTGTCAAACCGGACATTCCATATCCGTCTGGGAAGTGTGCTCTCCCAAACATTTGTCCAGGAAACAGGCGTGCCACAAGGTGGTGTGCTTAGTTGCACACTTTTTATTATTAAAATGAATTTTTTGCACTTGTCCATTCCCCGCAATATGTTCTATTGTACATATGTCGACGACGTTCAGCTTGGCTTCAAGTCATGCAACTTGGCCATGTGTGAGCGGCAGGTTCAGCTGGGCTTAAACAAGGTCTCCAAATGGGCAGATGAAAACGGATTTCGACTTAACCCACAAAAAAGCACGTGTATCTTGTTCTCTCGAAAGAGAGGCATGCACTCTGAACCTGACATTCGACTGAACGGCCAACGTCTGTCCGTCAAAGCCGAACATAAATTCTTAGGCTTAATCTTGGACAACAAGCTGACCTTCATTCCGCACATCAAAAATTTAAAAATAAAATGTCTAAAAGCCATGAATGTTATAAAAGTGCTGTCACGTACTACTTGGGGTAGTGATAGGCAATTCCTCACAAATCTGTATCGAAGCCTCATTCGCACCCGCTTAGATTATGGGGCCGTTGTTTATCAGTCTGCAACTCAAAGTGCTTTAAAGATGCTGGACCCCGTGCACCATTTGGGCATCCGCCTTGCTACGGGTGCTTTTCGCACCAGCCCCGTAGAAAGCCTTTACGTTGAGTCAAATGAGTGGTCGCTTCATCTGCAAAGAACTTACATGTCCTTTGTATGTTTCCTCAAGGTGAAAGCAGACAAGAGGCACCCCTCATCCTCTACTATTAATGATTTGTCGAGCTCATTTATGTTTCAAAACAGGCCTTCGATGAGGCAGCCCTTCTCAGTTCACCTGAAGAGTCTAGCTGAGGAAACTGGAGTCTCACTTGAACACAGTTTAATGGCTCCTGTAGCATACCCGCCACCGTGGCAGTGGCAGACTATAGATTGCGATGTGTCTTTCCTAGAAGTTACTAAACATGTGCCTATTGCCCATATTCGAACATACTTCTTGGAACTTCAACACAAATACACACGTCCTGAGGTTTTTACAGATGCCTCTAAGTCTAACTCCTCTGCGTCCTACGCTGCTGTTGGCCCTTCCTTTTCGGATTCTGGCCCTCTACATCCAGGCACAAGTATCTTCACAGCGGAAGCTTACGCGATACTTGTGGCAGCTAAACACATCAAACAATCACAAATGCAAAAAGCAGTAATTTATACAGACTCCCTCAGTGTGGTAACGGCTCTGCACAGTCCTAAAAAACGAAAAAACCCGGTCCTTGTCTTACTTTACTCCATTTTGTGCACACTCTACACACTAAAACAACATGTTGTAGTGTGCTGGGTGCCAGGGCACCGTGAGATCCAAGGCAATGTGAGGGCGGATCAGCTTGCTGCATCCGTCCACAAAAGCACTGGCCTTACACCCATATTAATCCCGGCCCTTGATCTTAAGCCGTCTCTCAAACGAAACATCAGGAACTACTGGCAGAGCAAGTGGGATACACACACACAAAACAAACTACACATTATGAAGCCACACCTTGGTCATTGGCTGCCGGTATCAAAATCGCGTCATACAGAGGTTATACTAACGAGACTCAGGATAGGACACATATACACGACACACACATATCTTTTGTCTGGTGGCGATCCACCATTGTGTGACAGATGTGGTGAACCATTAACCGTCCTTCACGTGTTAATCCAGTGTAAACACTTAGAAACTATAAGAAAACAGCATTTTCCATTACCCTACCGACAACATATACCTGTACACCCTGCAATGTTCGTTGGTAGGGAACCGCTTTTTAGTCATAAATCATTGTTAGCATTTTTAAAAGAAATTCGCAATTTTCATATCATATACCCGGGCATCCCGTAGCACGACCTCTGCAGGGAGGTTTTTGCTGCGGTGGCTACACAGGAAAGCACTTGCCTCACGGCCCTTGCACGCGAGGGTATGAACCGATGAGGCACTTGTGCTAATGCCATACATATACACCATCGTTTTTCATTATCACCAACTTTTGTTATCTGTTCATACCACACACACCTTTCATGGCATGGTCATGATTTTATTACTTGTATGTTTTTACCCGCCTTACCGCGAGGAATTTTATGGCCCTTATACAGCCGCTAATCACGATCATTGTCCACATTCCTTGTCGCATGAACTGGCGCTCTTTGGCCATCAAATGGCCCTTGCGCCAAAAAACACCATATATCATCATCTGTAGTATGAATGAACACATATGAAACATTGACGTGTTGTTATGATGCCTCAGGTATGCCATAATTGCTTTTTAATTGACAATCGTACAAGTATGAATGCTTAAACTTGAGCAATATTGGTGGGCACTGCAAATGGGGTGCCGTTTGATGTATCTTTTAATGTCTTTAGGGGGATTGTTACCGCAGACAAGTAGACAAACGTACAGTCAGACAGACAGACCAAACTTTTGGCTTCGAAGGTCTCCAAGAAAGAATGTCGTCTTTAAAATATCCTTTCCCAGCGCACGCCGTGCTAGTCGTGGACGTCTGCTCCACGCATTGCCTGCTGCACCGCGGAAAAGGTCACGTGACGTGGTCACCAGAGTGGTTGACAATTTTTGGGCACCTTCTCACGCGAAGCTTCCTACTCACCCTATCCAGTAACGCTGGTGAGTGCGTGCGTGCGTGCGTGTGTGTGTGTGTGTGTGTGTGTGTGTGTGTGTGTGTGTGTGTGATGAAAATTAAGAAATTAGATTCACGCAGGTGTTTTCTCGGCGCCTCAGTTGCCTCAAGGCCAGTGCTTCCACCTGAACTTCGCCATCGAGTGCGTGGCCAAGTCATTGTTCCAGTACGAAGAGCATCGGACGATTTCTTCGCTCAGTTCGCAACGAGACCCTGTGCAGGTGAGCTGGGTTGTTCTTCAACTTTTAGTCTTAGAACGCGAAATCTTTGACTCGTGGTTTGTACAGGAAGTGGGACTGTGGAGTATGGGAGTTCGTGTGCTCAATATTGATATCTAAAATCAAGATTTAAGGCACTCAACTAGGTTACAGGAATTTATTCCAGTAGCTGATCGTTACTAGATAGTTCCCGTTCATGCACAGAACTTGTCATAGTTCACACCGAACGTGTGCGCAATTCTCTCGCGAGGCAGACAGGAGGTTAAGTACAACGAGTTTTCGGATGTCACCAAAACAGTGAAGCGTCTAGGAAAACCGGTTCATAAAATCAGGCAAGAAACTGAAATAACGAGAACGGGCCAGAAAAGAGTTTACACTTCTTGATGTCACCCCACTTGGACACAGTGGACCTCTGAGGGTCCACTGTCTTCATGTACATATTCATTGATCCGGCTTCCAATCAGTGCCTGTTTATAGCTAGCGTGTTCTCCTTGTGCGATCCTCGTCATTTGAGTGCCCCGCTTAACTTTATCAATATGTTGTTCAAACAAAGCCCACATCTGCTCTTGCTGGTTCAGCTCAATCTTTCTGAGCGAAACGTTGAGGTGACTTCGAATCGTAAAACGAAGAAAAACTTCATTCCATCTTCCCAAAGGGAGAACTTATTGGATGCGAAGCAACAGCGTTGCCTACGCTTGCGTTTGGCTTCTCTGGCTCGCACCTCGTCGGTGTTGCAGGAGCGACGTCACCATTCGCAAACTCAATCGGCTTTGCTAACTTCACAAGCCGGGGCGGCCGGGTTATGCCTATTGGCATCGGCGGATGTTTCGGCGGTCGAAGGAACGTGCCTTCTAGCGTCCTCTCCTTTGCAGATAAACGAACAGAAACAGTGTTACTATTCGAAGTGTGCTCGAGCGTTGCGAGCGGTAAAGAGGATAAAGCAAAAGTGAGCTGACACGCACAGACATGTTTCGATGTGTACGTTACGCGCTCGTCAGGTTTATTGCGCGAGAGCCGAAGAGTGAGTGATGTGGCGAGCAGTGTTGCAGAATTGCCACTCCAGAATTGGAATGAATTAGGAATAAGTCAACATTTTCGCGACCCCGGAGCGGAATGGGAATAGAATGACGACAAAGCTAGGAAGAATAAAATGGGAATGGAATGAAGTCCATTTTCTATGGAATAAAATGAGATTTGAAATACGTCTCCTTCCGAAAAGAGGGCACATTTTCGCCGACGTGTTGTTTTTCAAACTTCAATCATTCGTAAGACAGACCCTGGAATTTACTAATATAGCAGCACTTTCAAAACGCTTGGATGATTACAAGCATGGCACATTTATAAGCAATACACCACCACAAGTATGTCATTATACAGGATGTGTTGCTCCGAAGTGTTTCTCTGTTCTTCGCGTAACCATAGCTTTATGCCACGATATCTGCCTGGCAGAATTTTACGCTGGTAACATACCCACTTTACACCCTGTGAATCGCCCCCTCGCCCCTGGTGGCGCATAAGCCACCTGCTGCCTCCCCATCGTTCTCTTTGTTTTGCTTCTGCCGCCATCGGCTATTCAGATTCATATTCGAAAAGGGCTTCTCTAAGTTGTGATACGTTTTGACGCCGGCATAATTCTTGTGTGTACTGCAAGCTTTTGTATCGCAGCTTGCGCGCAGTGTCGCCACATATTACCACTCTCCCCTTTTGTTGCAATACTGCCCCCCTGCCTACACACCAGGGTGCCCTTGCCTAAAACTCTATCGCGAAGGTCTATAGGTCAGCGCAGCACACATTCCCATAAGACGAAGTGTGTGCGGCATGAACTTTGTGTGCTGTGAGCAGTTTACAAGATGAACCATACAGAGAGAGATAGAAAAGACTTGAAAGCATTCGTTCGTGTAGCCAGCTCATGCAGCCGGTCCCACGTAACCAAGGTGGTGCCTTCCCGAATCCCTGCACGACCATTCACTAAGCCGTCATTTTGGCATCAATGCAACTAAGCTTAAAAACTATAAAACATCGTTCATTTAAACATGCACTCCAGAAAAAAGACCTGCTTATTCACTTACTGCATACTACATGTTTATTTTTCACAAAAAGCACTAACCTCCTAGTAAGTGAATGTTCTGCAATGCTGATTGGTGAAGCTTGCTAGTTTGTGAAATAGTAGGAGAATAGCTTCAATTCGTATAACTAATACATTAATGAATTTTCAGTTGGCGGGAGTTTATTAAGCATGTACATTGCCACATCGAGAATATTCAATTGCAAAAGTATTTACAGGATTATAGGTGAGATGCAATTGTACATGTGGAACAATTACTGGACACTAGTTACTTCAAGTGATTACCGTGGCAAGTAATCTCAGAAACATACATAGAGGCATGAACTTCTCCAGACGAGGGCGTACACGTGAACGCGCGCATAGAATATCAAGGCTTAACCGGTATAAAATACTGTAGGAGACGTTTGAAGGCTATTTGTGCTCCTACTTTCAAATAGCACACTCTGTACTGGTTAGCAGCCATAAAATTTAGAACAATAATGGACGTTTTGCAGTACAGATCATTGCCTGCCCTTTTATATATGCGTGTCATACCTTAGGAAGAAATTTTTGTTTTAAAGTAATCCACAAAGTATGGATTCGTCTAATTTTTTAAGAGCGTCAAGATCACTGCACTATATACAGTGGTGGTGTTTCCGAGAGACTTCGCAACGTATGTGGCCTATTAGTTATCTAGGTTAAAAGACCAAAAATGCATTCCTCGTTAGTAACCACAAAAGTTTCAAGCTTTACTAGCTCTGAATATGGTAAAAAATGCCACGAAGGTAGTAACATACACCCGAAACAAGTAAATGCATGCGTCGCAAACTGTCTACTAACTTTTTAAAGATTGTTTTGCCATGAGAATACTATAGGTAGAGCTAGTACTGCTCCTGTGGGAAGTATAAGTGTGGTTGTACTACAGGAGATAAGTCACTACGCTTCAATATCTCAACTGTGCTAGCGTGTTTCGCATAGTTTTGAAGTTCTTATGCATATGATGACACCAGCTTTATGTTAGCACAGTTATTCTTAGCTAGATAAGGCTAGCAAGATATGCCTTTCCTACGTGCGGGAGTTGTAGGAATAGAATTAACCTGCCTGGCGACTGCCGAAGTGCGAATGAAGTAATTTATACATTCGGAGGCATAAAAAGAATAAAGTTACGGGAAGTTGCAATTCCCCGGATTCCACTTCGAATGGAATGAAGGTGCCCATTCCACAACACTAGTAGCGAAAGGTGGTAGCGGCAAGGATTGTGGCGAACAGACGAGGCGGCTGCTGCCGGGGGCGGCAATGAACACGTGGCAGGCAAGGGAGAAAGTGACGTCAACGAGTTCTGTGAGGGAAACATAACGTCAACGCGCAGCTGCGGTGTGACATACTTGGCACCATTCCAACGCATGCCACGACGAGAGAGCGTTGCAGTGCGTTTGTACAGACGCATTGAGGGTGCCAGTGTTACAGAAGCTTGTCAAAGAGCTGCTTCGAATCTAAAAGCTGGCCAGATTAGTTAGCTGTTTTGAAACATAACAAAGCTACAGATAACTGCTAGGCTGGCAATAATTGAGAATTGCCACGCCGCGGTGGTATTGTAGCTATGGTACTCGGCTGCTGATTCGCAGGTTGCGGGATGAAATCCAGGCTGCATGCGGCTTTATTTTCGATGGAGGCGAAAATGCTGTAGGCCCATGTGCTCAGATTTGGTTGCACGTTAAAGAACCCCAGGTGGTCGAAATTTTCGGAGCCCTCCACTGCGGCATCTCTCATCATCGTAATGTCACGGAAAAGAAGAGACGCTGTATTGACGAGGCTGGGGATTAGATGTATTTAAAACCAGTGGTAATGGCGTAATGGATCACGGGGGTAGAGCATCGTCAGGTATGTAGCGGCTGAAGCCACAGATGGAGACGCTGACGGGTTGTTGTCATTGGTAGCCATGACCGGAGACTGAATGGTGCGGCCACTGCAAAGCTTCGTGGTGAAGATGGGAAACGTTCCACCTCCACCAAATATGTTACGAAAAAGAAGAGACGCCGTATCGGCGAGGCTGGGGATTAGATGTAGGTAAAACCAGTAGTAATGGCGTGACCGGGTCACCAGCTATTAAGCGGAGACAACCCTTCGTCTTCCTTGTCAGGTACACACGCGCATTGCCCCCTAGAATATCAATATGCATGCATGTAGCAATATGGTGGTTTTGGGACATGAAACCCTACGAATCAATCAATCCAACAATAATTGAAAACTAACGCCAAAATTATATCACCGGTACTGAGGCTAAAGCAGGCAAAGCGATATGAATGTGGTGCTAATAATTTAACAATCCTGGTTTTCCTGAAGTCCAGTGTTAAAGTATTGCACAATATTTTGCACAACTTCACCCTCAATAAAAAAATCCACAGCATAACCACGGAGTGAATCATGGTGAGTGGGCCGGAGCGCCCTTCCGTCCATCGATCCGTCTGTTCGTCCTTCCGTCTATTTGTATGCCTGTCTGCATGTCTGTCTATCTGTCCGTACGTCCGTGCGTCCATTCGTCTGTCTGTGTGTTCGCCCGTCAGCTCTATGACAACGTCCACTACACGGAATCCACTAGTGCCATCTAGTGATAATATATTCAAGGATGAATGGACGAATGTATCCGGCCATGCCCTTTAGATTGGGTGGCGCCTCACGCCACCTAGCCATAAATTTAAGTACTATCACTATGTGTGGAAGGATTGAATTTCGCTGGCATTTCGATGGCGCCTTGATTGTAGCTACAAATCAGTGAGCCTCCTCCTGGTTAATTCTACCCGTTTAAAGTATATATTACCTCCACTGTCCCTCGCCTCAATGCTTCGAAAAATTCCACGCCATCATCTTGGGTGCAGCCCATTATAAAACCTTATCGAATGTTCAGCCGTGTGTTCCTCCTCTCCACACGCACTACACCGTGTCTGTGCCTTCGTATTAG